TCTGCTGAAATTTCATGAGCAATTGCTTGAAAACTATTACCACTATGGTCCAGGTAAAGAGCTCATTCTTTGGAATAGAAAATGGAGCTCCAAAATGGAGTCTCTTATGTCAAAAATTTTATATAACTCCACAATATTATAGAAAACCATTTTAATATAATGCAATCAAAAATATGCCAGCAGACCAAAATTGTACTTTTAATATTTAATTTTTTATAATAAACTTTAACTTAAAAAATGATTATAAGAGAATCCCATATACTGTTCCCCTAGATTTATCCACTGGTGACATTTTGCTAGATTTGCTTTATCTCTCTAAATATATGTGTATGTCTCCCTAAATAATACAAAATGATATTTGCATATATATATATATTTTTGTTCCCATTCATAGGAGTAATTTGCAGAAAACCTGACCCTCTCAGCTAAGTATATCAGCCTGTATCTTTTAAGATTCAGGAACATTCTCCTGCCTTCCCTGGTTGAAAGGGAGGTTACATTCTTTAGATCGACCTCATTGCACTTACCACTCCCATTCCCAGCACTTGTCAACCTGCAGACCAAAGATGAGCACATGGGTCACACGAAAGCACTAGAGGGCACATTCTGATATGTGATCATGACCAGAAAACTCCCATAGGTTAACCTACTGTTAAAGGAACTGATAAAGGAACTGACAGGATAATCAATGTCATTGAGGAAGAATATTCTGCCCAGTAAGTGGCTGCAGTAGCATGACACAGAGAAATAGACTGTCCAGTTGTTGTTTTTGAAAAACTTTTAAAATTGTGATAAAAAATATATATAACATAAAATTTACCATTTTAACCATTTTTAGAGTACAGTTCACTGACACTAAGTACATTCTCATTGTCATGCAACTATTACCACTATCCATCTCCAGAGTTTTTTTTTTTTCATCCCAAATGGAAACTCAGTACTTTTTAAACAATAACTGCCCATTCCCCCACCTTCAGTCCATGGTAAACACTATTCTGCTTTCTGTCTCTATACATTTGACTATTTTAGGTACCTCTTATAAGTGAAATCATACAATATTTGTCCTCTGTGTCTGGCTTATTTCACTTTAGAATAATGTCTTCAAGGTTCATCAGTGTTGTAACATGTATCAGAATTTCATTCTTTTTACAGCTGAAAACTACTGCATTGTATGAATATGACACATTTTGTTGATCCATCCATCCATTGATGGACATTTTCACCTCTTGTCTACTGTGAATACTGCTGCTATGAACACTGCTGTACAAGTATCTGTTTGAGTCCCTGCTTTTGTACATATACTCTGATCTGGAATTGCTGGATCAAATGGTAATTCTATGATCAACTTTGGGGGGAACCAGCATAGTGTTTTCCACAGTGGTTGTAACATTTTATATGCCTACCAGCAATGCACAAGCGTTCCAATTTCTCTACATCCTGGCCAGCACTAGTTGTTTGCTGTTTGTTTTTGTTTTCATTTTTTAAATAATAGCCATCCTAATGGGTGTGAAGTTGTACCTCACTGTGGTTTTGATTTGAATTCCCATAATGATAAGTGATGTTGAGCATGTTTTCATGTATCTATTGTCTATATGTATATCTTCTTGGGATAAATGTCTGAGTCCTTTGTCCATTTTTGAACTGAATTGTTTTTGTTGTTATTACTGAGTTGTAAGAGTTCTTATAGATTCAGGATATTAATCCCTTATCAGATGTGTGATATGCGGTTTTCTTCTCTTATTCTGTGGGTTTCCTTGTTACTCTGTTGATGGTGTTCTTTGATGCACAAAATTATTTTGATGATGTCCTATTTCCCATTTTTTCATATTTTGATCATGCCTTTGGTGTCATATCCAAAAAATCATTGTCAAATCCAGTATCATGAAAGTTTTCTCCTGTGTTTTCTTCTATGAATTTTTGTAGTTTTAGCTCTTATGCTTAAGTCTTTCATATGTTTTGAGTTAAATTTTATATATGGTGTTAAAGTAATGGTTCAACATCATCCCTTTGCATGTGAATATCAAATTTCCCCAGCACCACTTGTTGAAAACCTGTGCTTTCCCCATTGAATGATCTTGGCAGGCTTGTCAAAAATCATTTGACCATATACGGGAGGGTTTATTTCTGGTCTCTCTGTTCTATTCCATTGGTCTATATGTCTATCTTTATGCCAGTACCACACTGTGACTGGACTAATTTTGTTTACATACCATTTTCCTGATTTACTTTAGTTCTTTGTGTTTCCTCTTAGCTTTTTGAGCATATTTAAGAAAATTACTTTAGTCTTTGCCTAGAAAATGCAATGCCTGTGTTTCTTCAGGGATGTTTTCTGCCACATTTGTTTACTTCCTTTGAAAGGGCCATATTTTCCTGTTTCTCAGTATGCCTTGTGATTGTTGTTGTTTCTGTTGAAAATTGGTCATTTATGGAAACAGCCACCTTTTCCATTCTTTGCATATTGGTTTTGTGCCAGGGAAGTCTTCTGCTAATTAGTTGGGTCTTAGTATTGAGCCTTAGCATTAACCTAGGGAGAAACCTTAAAGTCTTTTTAGGTCTTTTCTGAGCATGCATCTTCCCTGAGGTTATGTGCTGCTTTTTCAATTTTCCCATATACACTGCTTTTAAATGTCTTAATTTCCCTCAGAATCTCTCCTTGGGACTTTGACAGTCTATTGTTTGTCTCCACCCTGAAAAGGAAAAAAAATTATATTTCTCCTCTCAACACTATTCTCAATACTTCACTTCTGGTCACCACATGTATAGGCAATTTTCCACAGTAAGCAATTCTGACAACAACAGTCTGAAGTTAGTGCGTGCCCTACATGTTAAGGGTCAGTCCTACAAGATGGGCCCCACTTCAGATCCTAATCCCAAATCCAGGGTGTCGCCTTGCTTCTGACTGGCTATGTTTGCCATCTCTACTCCAGGTTCAGTAATTTGCTAGAACAGCTTACAGAACTCATGAGAAACAGTTTACTCACTAGATTACTGGTTTATAAAAAAGCAGAAAGAAAAAGAAAGAGAAAGAAAGAAAAGAAAGAGAGAAAGAAGAAAGAAAGAAAGAGGATACAACCCCGGAACAGCAAGATAAAAGCGATGTATAGGGCAAGGTATCAAGAAAAGGGTGTGGAGCTTCCATGCTCTCTCTGGGTACACCACTCTCTGAACACCTGCACATGTTCACCAACCCGGAAGCTCTTTAAACTCCTTCAGTTAGGGTTTTTAATGTAGTCTTCATTAAATAGGCATAATTGAGTAAATCACTGGCCATTGGTGATTAACTCAACCTTCAGCCCTCTCCCACTCCCCAGAGGTTGGGAGATGAGGCTGAAAGGTCCAACTCTCTAATGACATTGTTGGTTCCCTTGGCAACCAGCCTTCATTCTGTGGTTATCCTGGGGTTCTTCCAAAATCATCTCATTAACATAAACTTTGGTGTAGGTGAAAGGTGCTTATTATGTATAACAGAAGACACTTCTTTCACCTTTTTCTCTCTGGAACTACTTTAGGACCTATTTTAGAACCAAAGACAAAAGACCAAATATTATAACAAAAGATACTTCCATTACTTTCATCACTTGGGAAATTAAATGTGTTTGGAAGCTGTGTGTCAGGAGCAGGGACAAAGACCACATACATACTTCTTATTGTAAATCACAATATCACACACTCATAATATTTTGCCAGAGGGGTCTGAAAGTCAGTCTCCCTGCAGCTTTCCCAAGCAATGCCCCTTGCTTCTCCCTGACTGATATCTGAATTAGGTGAAACAAAGACCATTCTTTCAGGCAGCTCAGAACAGATTAGAACATTATAAACATAGTTTGCTCTGCTCCATCCAGTCTAAAGGAGGGAAGTGGGAACTGAACTACTGCCTAAGATGGTCTTTTTTTAATTTTTAATTTTTATTTATTTGAGAGAGAGAACACGAGCGGGGGGTGGGGGGGCAAAGGGAGAGGGAGAAGCAGACTCCCTGTTGAGCAGGGAGACCAACACAAGGCTTGATCCCAGGACCCTGTGATCATGACCTGAGCTGAAGGCAAATGCTTAACAGACTGAGCCACCTAGGCGCCCCTAAGATGGTCTGTTTTATGTCTTCACTGGTAATCTCTCACCCCTGGCATCTGCAGATCCATCTCTCTGTAGTTCATGAGCAATACCCAGGAAACCAATGCCAGTGCTTCTTTCCATCTGATATCAAAGTTATGTCACTACATTCCTAGCCCCTGCCCCTGCCTGAGATCCATGTGACATGAAACAGAGACCTGAAGAGGTAAACCCCAGACAGGTTAGAACACTGTGAACAAGGTCTGCTCTGTTCCCTCTGGGTCAAGGGAGAAAAGGGGAACTGGGTTGCCACCTACTCCAGACCAAGACTAATACCACACCAGGGAGTGTGTGGGCCAAGGACAAGCAAAAACACCACAGAATTTCCTACCATTTTTAATATGGCTTTTTCTTGACTGGGTGTTTGCTTGGTTGCTTTAGACCTTTGACTGTTTTTACAGAACTACTATAAGATTATTCTAGCCAATATTTTGATTTTTGATATCTCCTTGGGGAAACAAGAGCTTGGAGATTCCCAGCTTGCCATTTTGTTCAATTGTTTAGGTTTGATCCTGGCTTTATGACTTACTCAGCTTTTGTGAGACTCATTTATCTTATTTGCAAAGTGGGTACAATAATTTCTAACTTGTAGTTTCTCCTAAATATCAATGAGGTATGTGTCACAGGGCCTGGTATATTGTAGACCCTCAGTGATAGTAACAGTTGCTTGAATTTTATTATTACTATTGAAGCAAAACTTTGGAGAATAATAATACCCTATGTTTCATCACTAATATCATCAGAGATGGGGCACAAATAGAGGAAGCCCTCTGCAGTCTGCTAATTCTAGGTTACATTCTGTTCCACAGAAAGTACAGAAGTTTCACCTAGTCATAACTGATGGATGCTTTGGATAACTCTAAGTCAGAGAATGACTTTGTAATCTTATTTCTACTAGGAGGCTTTTCTAAGTTGGCAGGTTGCCATGGCATCTGGACCCACTATGACGGCCCCCATTTGTCTGGTGGAAAACAACAATATGCACCTGTCAGTGAACCAGACAGCTATACAGATTCTTGAAAGGATTTCTCAACCAGTAGTGGTGGTGGCCATTATAGGACTGTATCGTGCAGGCAAATCCTACTTGATGAACCATCTTGCAGGACAGAACCGAGGTGAGTGTTGTACTCATTCTGGGGCCTACTGATTACCTCTAGCTATATAGCTCTTAGACCTTTAGTTTTCTTCCCTGGGCACGTGAAAGGAGAACCAAAATCCTCTCAGTCAACCAAACTTCCACTTCTAATTCTCACCACTAAATTACTCTTACTGTAATCTGTTATCATACTGTTTTACTCTTGTTAAGGAAAATCTCTCCTACTAATGCTCAGGATCCCACCTTTTTAACCTGATCAAGTACTGGGCTCTTAAAATTACACGTCTTCTCTCTCTTGAAACACATTTGCTTTTTTATGCGATAGTCCCATCAACATATAAAGATGTTTGAATATCTATTGAGGAGGGATAGAAGCAGAAAAGTGTTCACCTTTAGCCCAGAAGGCTGACCTATAGCCTGCTTGTTCCTACAAGGATCAAGCATATGCTGACTGTTACATTCTGAAAGGGTCTCCGGACTGCCTGTATATCTCAACAACAGTAAATATTGAACTGAATGAGAAGCACCAGAGAAATCTTGTGAAAGTAGTTTTATGAGTAGAAATTCGAAGAAACATTTATGATCTAATACTCCCTGCACGTCCCCTTCCTCTTGAGCAGTAAGCATATAATACGAGCTGCACACAGCAAAAGTGTAGCTCTTTTTGTCAATGGGTCTTGGCCATGTGCTACTTGAATAAACTAAGTTGCACTGTGAAATATCTCAAGAATTCTTTCTTGACGGTTGTGCTCACAGACCCCACATCTATCATCTTGAAAATCCTTCCTGGATTTCATATCCTATTGTAGTTAACAACCTTTCTCCCCTCTTTTTTTTTGTTTTTATCACATTGGCAAAACATATGATCTCAATTTCCTTTTTCTACTTTTTCTTTTCCCATTTTTTTCTTTAATCCACTGCTCTCTGACTTTGTGCCTCACCATTCTTTCAAAATGCTCTAATTATGGTTATCAATGATCTCCATTTTTTTTTTTCTGCTTCATGAATGCCTCTTTGCCTCCATCTTGACCATTTGCTGGCATCACTGCCCTCCTTGAAACAGATAACACACAAAGTAGGACACGCTTAAGGAATTTGAGAAAGAACCATCTTGTATGCTGGGGTATTTACATTCCAGAAAGTCTGACATTGTACCCTTTGGTTACTTAGATGAATCTTCTGTCATTGTATGTTGCCTTCTCCCCTCCCCTTCCAGGTTTCCCTCTGGGTTCTGCCAAGGGCATCTGGATGTGGTGTATGCCTCACCCCTGCAAGCCAAACCACACCCTGGTCCTTCTGGATACCGAGGGCCTGGGTGATGTGGAAAAGGTAAGACAGGCAGTCACAGATAAATCCTTTTTATTCTGGATTTGCTCCTTACCTCTTCATGATATTTTATAATTTAACTGCTGTAATCTATATGCAAAATCTAGAAATCCAACTATAGTAAATGAGGCATGCTGGTTTATTTGAAGTTCACTTCTAGGTGAGATAGGATATATTAGCTAAAATCTTCTATTTCTTGATACTGGATGAATTATTTTATTAATTTTTTAAAAAGATTCATTTATTTGAGAGAGAGAGACCGCGAGTGGGGGAAGGGGGAGAGGGGGAGAGAGAAAATCTCAAGTAGACTCCCTGCTGAGCACGGACCCTGATGTAGGGCTTGATCTCATGACCCGGAGATCATGACCTGAGCCGAAACCAAGAGTCAGATGCTCAACGGACTGAGCCACCAAGGGGACCCTGAATTATTTGATTAAATTTAAGAAATAATTATTGAATAGCTGAGCTGCAGCCTCCTGGCTTAGTACTGTAGTTATTAGTCACCACAGTAAAGGTCCTGCCCTCAAAGCATCTTCAGTCCAGTTGAGAAGACCACACATATGAAGACTTCCAGTAAGCCTTCATAAAATACACTAAAATAAAATACACTCTTTCTCCAACTTTCATAGTTCTGCTCTTCCTTGATAAAATTCTAAATTTTCATTTCTATTATAGCTATAGGTTCCATTGCTTATGTACATTACTAAGATATAAGATTACTAATATCTTTATAGATATTGTCATCTTTGTTACATTCATTGTTATGGATGTTTGTCACCACTTTGAAATAGTCACCTTGAAAGTAACAATTGCCATTTTCAAGTTTGCTTTTTAAATGTAAGAGCAGTGGGAAACATTCAGTAGCTTCCTATAAACATTTGTTGAATTTAATTGAATATAATCTGAATCCCCAGTAATGACAATTATGGTATATTTTATATAGCTATATGTAGAATGAATAAATGCTAACACTCATCACTGAATACCGAATTGCACACCAGGTACTGTACTAGTTTTTCTATATATGTTACTTTATTTCATCCAATAGAAGAATAAGCAAGCTCTGTGAAGATTAGAGTCTCTTTATATATGAAGAAGTCACAATCACGAAAAGTCTTCGTAATTGTCAAAGTTGATATCTTTATCTATGTCTGTCTTCAAACTTATTTCTTTGCATGGCAAGTATGTTAGCTGAAATAATAAATGAAAGACTGATAGAAGAAGTGTCTGAATGAATTTCTAAAGACTAAATTCCCAAAACTCTTGCTCCAATGTGTTTTCTAGGGTGACCCTAAGAATAACTCATGGATCTTTGTCCTGACTGTGCTTCTGAGCAGCACCTTTATCTACAACAGCTTGGGCACCATCAACCACCAGGCCCTGGAGCAGCTGCAGTATCCTTCCAGGGACCAAGCCACCATGTTTCATTAAGTTGATGGGAATAGAGATCAAGTTGGTTTCTCCGTCCCTGTCACTTAGCTGCCTTTGGTGGAGCAGAGGGGACCCAGGGCAAAACAGAGTGTTTATAATAATTTTTTGTTAGAGAAAAGTGGGAATAATGGGTGGGAACTTCCTTTTCCTTAACTGTGCCCTAGTTATGTGACAGAGCTCACAAAACTAATCAGGGCAAAGTCCTCCCCAGAAGAGGATGGAACAGAAGATTCCACAGAGTTTGTGAGTTTCTTTCCAGACTTTATCTGGGCTGTAAGGGATTTGACCCTGGAGTTGAAGCTAAATGGTCATCCTATCACAGAAGATGAGTACCTGGAGAATGCCTTGAAGCTGACTGCAGGTATCAGAGCATGACCTGGTCCAACAGAGGGTGGAAGCTACTAAACACAGTCCACTATCTTTGGGATTACATTTGTATTCAAGACCAGATTGAAATCTGTAGAAATGGTGACTTGAGGTTGGGTTGAAAAACTCTAGGAACTGGAGTTTAAGTTCACCCAAGAAAAGTAGAGCCTGGGCTAGAATGAAATTATTCAAAACCGATTTGTTCTTTAAATAATGGCTAATTTAGCTACCAGACTTCAATGGGTGCTTAAACTTTCCAAAGACCAGAGACATGTTCCTTACTTTGGCTTCTATTTTTCTGTGTTGAAGAAAACAACTGACTGAAATGTATTAGGCATAAAATTACAAGGAAAATCAATATATTACTATATATACAGTTCAATAAAAAATATATTTTACAGTTAGATATTAATCTTCTCAAAGAAGGATATTACTTTCTAATGCCTGTATAGATATATCACATTAAACCTGAAGAAGTATGCCTTTTCAAGCTACACCTTTTCAATATTTCTGAAAATTATCAGAACATTCATTTTACTGTCTATATCATAGTTTTCTCTTAATTCTCACATATTTATCCATGTTATAATTTTGAAATAATAAATTATTTTAATGGGTTACATTTATAATGGTATATATCTCATCTCTGATCTTGAGAGAAAGATCAATTCTGATTATTCATTCTTGCTTTCAGTTTTCTACTTACACTTTCCCAAAACATTTAATGAGAAACTGGGTAGGCAGAAGAGCAATGCTGTTAAATCAAGTCTAGTCCTTTACCTCAAGGCGTTTGTAGAGTAGTGGTGACATTCTAGAATTACATTTTAGGTACATTTACTCCTCCGAGGTTTTTGTGAAATAAAATCGCTAACATTATGCAAATTATTTCTAGCATCAAAGCAGTTTTCCTTAAATAACCAGAGTGTCCTAGTATGCCTAATACTGTTGTTCCTAATACTGCTCCATTATTCCTTGATAATGATATATATTATAAATATATATTTAAAATGGTCCATCAATTTAAAAATGAGACAATGCACTTTCAGTTTGCTGAGACATTTCAGGTCAGCCATTTTAGATTTAGAACAGAAGGATTTATGTGGCTTTTCTTGATCCCAAGCTCAGTTTCTACATTAGACCAAAAAGTTCCATTTGACCTTCCATTCTTTTAGCCATTCATTCAGTAAACATCTCTCCGTGAAGAGATGTGTATATTTTATAATTATCTCACTTTGGAGGGTTTATAAATCCCTCTCCAAAACTGCACACTTTGTCACTGGTATCTGTGTCATCCACTTATCTGAAAAAAAAAAATCCTCCACTGATTTAAAAAAAATCACTAACTGGGGATAAAAACAGAACATACTGCTTTTTTTTTTTCTCAAGGGAACTCCCATCTGGTAAGTGTTATTTGCAAAAAAATACAAAAATATTTTGGGAGTTTAGAACAGTACAAAAATAAATAGTATCCCATGAATCAGTGATTATCCATTGGAAGCTTTAAAATTCAGAATAAATATAATCTGATTTATCTTGCCTCATCTGTCTACCTATATAATCTATCTTGCTTTTAATTTCTTAAAGGGGAAGTTATGTTTTCCAGATACCCTTTAGTATGTTAGATAAAGGTAAATTTTTAATTTTTTAGCCATGTGGCCTGGAGAACCATAAAAATTAAGAGTCAATAGGAAAACAAAGGTGAAGATAGAGGAGGCAGGGCTGTGTGTGGCATGGAGTGGGGGGATGGGGGTGGTGGGTATGAGTGCGCGTGACTTCAGAAATGTTGTCTCAGAATCTGGTATACTATGGGGTGATAATTTGATATTTATCCCTTTAATATCCTGGCTCATTCAGGGCTGAGGACTCTGGTGGTCCTATATGGATACCATCAATACTGGTTCAGTGCCTTGTTTGGAGAACGCAGTGACAACTCTAGCCGAGCTTGAGAACTCAGTGGCCGTGCAGAAGGCAGCTGACCACTACAGCGAGCAGATGGCCCAGCGAGTGAAGCTCCCCACAGGCAAGCTCCAGGAGTTGCTGGATGTGCATGCAGACTGTGAGAGGGAAGCCACTGCAGTGTTCATGGAGCACTCCTTCAAGGATGACCAGCGGGAGTTCCAGAAAAAGCTGGTGGTAATGTGTCTTAGTATTTACTCTTCAGGACTCTTCCTTTTGAAGAAGGAAGCCTAGAAGTACCTTTATGGACCCCCTGGCTCATCTCTTACTCAAGGACAAAGCAATGTGGATTCTCATGAGAGAGTTTTAAAGGACTACCTTTCTTTCTTTCTTTTTTTTCCTTCAAACCTGAGGCACTTTGTCTAGAAATCTCTCTTATCTCTTAAGTAAAATCAATATAGATATCCTCCTGATCTGAATATTTCTATGGATTCTAAGCCTGCCCAGAACACCCAAAAGTCATTCTTGAGCATGGATGCTTTCTGAGAGCACACTCCTATTGTCAGGAAACAAATTTTCTCTCATCACACCCTCATTCCAGGCCATTTTCAATTTACATTGCTCCTTGTTGTATCACCATATCATTGAAGATAAAATCACTGAATGCTCCAGTTGCAAGGAGCCATAGAGATTAGGTAATACAACTCCAACATCTCAGAAGAACCAGGGAGGTTAAGAAACTTGCCCATAGTCTTGCAGAGAGTATTCAAGGTTGTGAGTAAATCAAGTCTTGTGATTCCTGTTTTATTCCATGTCCTTCTCCAACAGAATGCTTTTCTCATGAGGACCACAGTTAGACCAATCCTTTTACCAGATTCTTTGGAATGGTATTTTTTCCTGTTCCTCTCTTCAGGTGACATCCCCCTACTTTTCCCTTGTAGGAACTCATAAAGGATAAGAAGGAGCATTTCTTGCAGCAGAATGAAGAGGCATCCATTGAATACTGCCAGTCTAGGCTTGATCAGCTTTCACAGGTCCTAATGGAAAGTATTTCAGCAGGAACTTTCTCTGTTCCTGGAGGGCATGAGCTCTACAGGGAAGCAAAGGAAAGTATTGAATGGAACTATTCACAAGTGCCCAGGAAAGGAGTGAAGGTGGGGAATACGGGAGCATGGGAGGCCTACAGAATAGAGCCAAAAGGGTCTCCAGATAATCTGAAGAGCACAGTGCCAGTTGTGGGTGATAAACAGCATGGGGATATCATGACAGCTTTAGCTTTTAAGGACCACTATTTGCTATTTACTCCTGAGAAGAGTGGAAATGCCTATTCCTAAAAAAAAGAGTATTGATTTCTGACATCCATAGGAGATAGAACAGAAATTACTCATTTCCCAACCAACAACACAGCACTGAATATGGCAAGTTACAAGTTAAAGTAAGTTAAAGTAAGAATCCTTGTACTTATGTATGATCAAAAGTAAGAGAGGAAGTCAAATATACAGACAATTGCATACAAAGTTGTAACACATATGAACCTGTGAAAATGGGCTCCATATGATGCAATATTATGGAGCTATAGAAAGGATGAGATCATGCCATCTGAGACCTAAAGGATGCCATAGATGGACCTAAAGGATATTATGCTAAGTGAAATAAGTCAGACTGAGACAAATACGATATGATTTCACTCATAAGTGGAATCTTAAAAAACACCCTCAAGTGAATAAACAAAAAACAGAATCAAACCTATAAATACAGAGAACAAACTGATGATTGCGAGAGAGGAGGGGGATGGGCAAAATGGGGGAAGGGGAGTGCAAGATCCAGGCTTCCAGTTATGGAATGAATAAGTCATGAGAATGAAAGGCACAGCATAAGGAATAGAGTCAACAATATTGTGATAGTGATATAACGAGACAGATGGTAACTATACTTGTGGTGAACATAGCAGAAAATATAAATTTGTAGAATCACTATCTTGTACACACAACCTAATGTAACATTGTGCATCAACTACACTCAAATTAAAAAAGTATAATAATAAAGAAGTAAATAAAAGAAAATGGGCTACATAGGTTGTAGTAATAAACATAATTAATAATGCAACTAATATATACTGGACTCTTACTTCTTATAGGCATAATGTAAAGCTGTTTCCCTAGACCCTTAAGTTTAATCCTTCAAACAGCATTAAGAAATGTCTATATTTATTGTCAACATTTTATGTATCTGAAATGAGAGGCACAAGCAGGTTAAAATAACTTGCCTAAAGTTAAAGTCAGCAAATAACAGAGGAGAGCAACAGTACAAATTAGAGGCAACATTAGAAAGCAAATACATAAAACACCAGAGATTGTGGATTTATAGAACTGAACATAGTTCTGACTGGCTGGAACCTAGAGTGCGGAGAAGAAAGTAGCACTGGGGGAGAGCCTGGAGGGACACAGGAAGCAGGAGATATGGAGTCTCTGGTCACACTAAGGCGCTTGGACACCTTGTAGGGAGCCACTGTAGAATTTTAAGCATGAAGCACAAATTACATGGACATACTTGTTTTTGCAGCACTAATCTCCATAGTGGAACTCTAAGTTCTTTGCTCCTTCTTGGTTCCTCAGGCAAATGAGGTCCTCCAGAGCTTTCTGCAGTCGCAGGCTTCAATAGAGGAATCCATCTGGCAGGCAGATAAAGCCCTCACTGACAGGGAGAAGGCCATAGCAGGTATGGGGCAGGGCTTGGCTCACAGTGGGTTGGGTAGGTCCCTCTGTCAGGTATAAGGGTAAAACCTTCCTGAAACAAGGAGCGTCCTCTCCTTCTGAGGCACAACTCTGCTAAATCTAAAAACAAGGGGAGTTGTAGTTGTATGTCAGCCAGACAGGGCCTTTCCCACATTTTGAAATTCATGAGGAATTCAGAGATTTTCCACCTTCCCTTCCAATTTTCTTTTGTCTCTGAGCTCTGGAGGGTAGAGATCAATCCTCACTTAATTTTCTTCCCTCTCTAAACTTTCCTGTGGTAGCGGAGCAGGTCAGCAAGGAGTCAGCTGAAACGGAACAGGAGCTGCTAAGACAGAAACTACTGGAGCAGCAACAGCAGATGGGAGGCACAAGAAAGGACTCTCCAGGAAAACATAGTCCAACTGAAAGAGAAGATGGAGAAGGAGAGAGAAAACATACTAAAAGAACAGAACATGATGTTGGAGGATAAGCTGAAGGTAAGTCTGGCCATGGCCTTGGTAATGCTCGGTGGTCCTTCTTCTGGTACCTCAGGAAAGGATGAGTGAAGGCTACAGGGATGGAGCTCAGGAAGTACCATTGCCATTAACTGCTTGTAATTTATTAAAACCCTGAATCCTTTGAATTCTTCTTCTTCTTCTCCCTCTCCTTCCTCTTCTCCTCCCTTTCCTCTTCCTACTCCTCATCCTCTTCCTGCCCTTCCCCTCCTCCTCCTCTTTCTTTTCTAAAGAATCCTTTGAACTCCACTCTATATGCAGACTTTAGAGAGTTCAGGATGAGTATGACACCTCCAAGTTCTTGGAGAATATAAATAGCATTTGAGTTGCTATTTTGGGAATTTAAAAATGATCTCATGAGGCTTGATTAAATAGATATTCCAACCATATGCAATTTTTAATTAATTTTTAATTTTTTAATTAACATATAATGTATTATTTGCTTCAGGGGCACAGGTGATTCAACAGTCTTACACAATTCACAGCGCTCACCATAACACATACCTTTCCCAATGTCCATCAACCAACCACCGCATCCCTCCCACCCCCCTCCACTCCAGCAACCCTCAGTTTGTTTCCTGAGATTAAGAGTCTCTTATGGTTTGTCTCCCTCTTTGGTTTCATCTTGTTTCATTTTTCCCTCTCTTCCCCTATGATCCTCTGCCTTGTTTCTTAAATTCTGCATATCCATATGTATTTAAGACGAGCAGAAACTGGTTTGCTTTACCAAGATCACTGACAATTATCAGAAACTCTATTGCTACTTAAAGACCCTGAGGTAGATCTATGCTGACATAAAACTATCAGAAATGTACAGACTCAAAAACACAGGGAAGCGATAGCTTCTAAATTTGGTATTTTATCTCCAGGTGTGGGTAGTTTACCCAAGTTACCAAATGGCATAGGGAGGAATTCTCTCATTATCCATCAGGACATGTTTATGATAGATTTTTAGAAGAGCTTATAACTTCCCATCATTTCTACTATTTGGGTGACCATACCAACCCAAGTGGAACTGAGTGTGATCAGACCAAGTCTACCTTCCAACTGGCATTTTTTTTTTTTAACTGAAACATGTTACATTTGTCCTCATGTCAGGCTTAGCATCCTAGTAAACTTTAATGGTGTGTGAATACTAGGAAGGCTTTAAATTATGCTTCATCTCAATGTTTAGGTCCAAGCCAGGTGATATTCCTCACTGCAAAATTCTCCTTTCTAGGTTAAGAAGGAACAATTTTGGAAGTAAAACAAAGATAGTTTGACAACGTTTTTATATATGAAGTGCAGTTCTTGAAAAAAATGATAATTTTACTTCTCACTTTTTGTTTAGGTCCAACATAATCCGCTCAATGAAAGATTTAGCAAGAAATATGAAGAGATGGATGAAGAGATAAAGCAGTTGAAATACAGGGTTGATGCTACTAAAAATAATGATACTCCCTGGTTTGCACAAGTCTTGGAGGATTTAGCAATGAAATTGTTTCAATATTTTCTTCTCCTGTTAGAACACTTGATAATATGCATGGTGTGAGCTCACTATTTATGAATTAGCTCTCCTTTTAAAGAAATTAAAGAATGTGGTTATATACTCTGGCCTATTTTTGGTGCATATGGTTTTCACTTTTATCCAGAAAAGTTTTAAATATAAAAAGTGCCTACAAGAGGATAGCAATGCCTGCCCTACATTAGACAGAATAAATGCATGTACACTTTGATATATAACTTTTAGGAAATCTACATCTGCAAAATTATAAATATATATAAAATCCACTGAGGCCTCACTTTAAGTGACAAAAGCTTGCTTAATTAGATTATTGAAGTATCTATATCTATATATTGGTAATATAAATTGAACATGTGCCAGTCTGAACACTGGAATACTATGTAGCCAGTAAATAAATTGACAGTGGAGCTGTATTTGTAAAAACATAGGAAATATTGAAAATATAAAGAAATAAGGAATAAAACAGTGTGTATAATGTATTCACTATAAAAAAATTATTATGTGCAATTATACCTATGTACAAATAAAATATCTCTGGAAAATTTGTTAGAAACTAGTATCACTGGTTCCTTCTGAGAAGAACTGAATGGCATCAGGGGTGGAAGGGACACATGCTCTTCATTATATATTCTTATCTTTTGACTTTTTTAAAGAAATCTTGAATTTCCATTTTATAAATAAATAACAGAAAATATAGAGTATAATACTAATAATGATAATCATAAAAAGAATGTGAAATTGGCTATGAGATAATGAAATTCCTCACTATTTCTAGAAATGACATCAGCCTGCTCAATGAGGGGGTCTAAGACTAAGATCAGAGTACCAGGATGCATAAAATTCACATCTTAATCTTGTTTTCATTTTGGCCTTGGTTTTTAATCCCTTATATTTACTTCAAAACTAAGTTATAGGGCGCCTGGGTGGCTCAGTTGGTTAAGCGACTGCCTTCGGCTCAGGTCATGATCCTGGAGTCCCTGGATCGAGTCCCGCATCAGGCTCCCTGCTCGGCAGGGAGCCTGCTTCTCCCTCTGACCCTCCCCCCTCTCATGTGCTCTCTCTCTCATTCTCGCTCTCAAATAAATAAATAAAATCTTTAAAAAAAAAAAAATAAGAGCGCCATTAGGGAAGAAATGAGGGGGAAGGAGGGTTTATGGGCAAAATTCCTGATTGCACAAGAGGTGGGTGTGTTTGGGACCTAAATGAAAGTCCATGCACTAAAGCTGAGAGAATATATGATGGGAAGAGGAGCCAGCAGCAGGCAGACTGTAGGATCTTGCGGCCCCAGTATGACAACCACAAGCTTTTATGGAAAGTGACATGACTTATCTCTTACAAAACTCACTGTGATGACTGGGTGAAAATGAATTGGAGTCTGCCAAAAATGATGATTCCTGGCCATGCCATCAGCCCTAAAAATAGGCTTTTAAAAATTACTAGCCTCTTTGTAAAAGATTTAAAATGCTAAGTGCCATACACTTGCTTAAAAAAACAAGAGGTGCCAGACTCTTACACATAACGTTTTCCCCCTTGCTCCCTCCAAACTGCACACACTTCCAGTCACTACTTTTTTTTTCCAGCTTTAGTAAAATATAATTGACAGATAACATTGTATAAGTTTAAGGTGATCTCTAATTAGGTTTGAAAATGATCTAATATAAAGGTTTTTTACCCAGAAAAACAATCTCTTAAGTCAGTTAAGGCCCGTTGAAATGGCATTTCCTGTGAACAGAGTTCAGATTTCAACTGACAGCAACGAAGAGCTACTTTCACAATGGACTTACTTCCAGGAAATCAGGTGCCTTTCTGTATGAGCAAAACAACAGACTATTTTTGATCATGTAATTTCATAGCAAAATGTGTTAGAAGTGTTCAGTTAAACCACTGTCCCTCACGTGCTTTTGCGTGCTCTCTTTAGGCACTACATTCTTCTACTAGTGACCACCTGCATTTCACTGGCCAGAAAAAATTCATGAACTTTACAACTGCCTGGCTGGGAACTTCACCAAAACCCGAGTGGTGTAATTCAATCCAAGCTGCATGGCTCTCTCTTTCTGTGATACATCTTGCTACAGAGTTTCCAAAGCAAAGGTATCTGGGCAATATTTGAATTTAGAGTCTTCCACACACAGCCTTCTTTCTTAGAATAGATACTAGGATAACATAAAAAGATGAAGATTTATTAAACATCCAATCCTCTGGATAGAGAGGCAAATGTGCATTGTAAAAATTCATTGACATGCCTACTGGAGCAGAAGGGGCGAATACAAGGATGTGATACCTACACAATAAAAGATGGTGTTACATTGCTTTGTTAGAGAAATTTTAATTGTTCCTAAAAGCAAGGTAGAGAGTAAACGAAAGAATAGAATAGGCAGAGGAAAGCAGAGCCAGCAAGGTAGAAAGGGGCTGGGTTTCAGTGGAGTGAAATACTCACGGTTCCCTTCAAGCTGTAACAAAGCAAAGAAATCCTAGGAAAAAAAGATGTCCTCCCTCATCTTTAATAAAATCTATTACAACTCAGATAAGTTTTTTTTTTTAAGATTTTATTTATTTATTTGAGAGAGAGAGAATGAGAGACAGAGAGCACGAGAAGGAAGAGGGCAGAGGGAGAAGCAGACCCCCTGCTGAGCAGGGAGCCCGATGCGGGACTCGATCCAGGGACTCCAGGATCATGACCTGAGCCAAAGGCAGTCGCTTAACCAACTGAGCCACCCAGGTGCCCTATTACAACTCAGATAAGTTTTATGGATAGTCTTGCATTTGGCAGTGGGGCTCTATCTCTGATTGAACTACCACCTAAAAGGTGAGAGGTCAGCTTCCCCAAGATTGCAAAAATTATGCTGCCAAGAATCAGACAAAGACCCAGCGTGCTCTCTGATAGCCCTTGAAACTACCCAAACGTCACACGAAAATAAAGGGAATCACTCCTTGATGTGCTTTTCCCTTTGGGAGTCTGTATAATTTGGGACAGTATGTTTGAATTACATAAATGGGTTTTTATTCCAATAAATGATCTTAGCAGAGTGAAGAAGTTCACCATGAACTAGCAAACCAAAAAGAGCTCTGAAAGTGAATTCCTAGGGAAGGGAATGGAAGTTCATGCCACATATTCTTGGACTGCTCTAAATTCTTTACTATGTCTCATATGTCAAGACAGAATGACCTGGAGACTGGCTTACATGCACGAGATTGGCCCTTGGTGCTGGAGGATAAGGTATAGATTATGTGCTGCCCAAAACTAGGGATGGTCTTAGAAACGTTGAAAAAATGAAAGCAACCTAAATGTCTTTCAAATGGATTTCAATCAAATCCAAAAGTTATATATGTATCTATTTAAGCATCTACTCAAGAATACACTTACTAACACACAAGATCTCAAAAAAAATTGTGTGAAAAAAGAAATATTAAAAACAGATATATACTAAATGACATCATTTTCATAATAAAATAACAAAAGGATATCAGATAGCCAATAAACATATGAAAAGATGCTCAATTATATGAGGCATTAAAATCACAATGTGTTACCAATGCGCATCTGCCAAATGAAAGATAAGCCAACAATACCAATGATCCATGAGGCTGTAGAGTACATGGAATGCTCTGTGATACTAGTGCAAATAGAAATTAGTACAACGTGAAAATGTTTGGTAGTATCTGCTAATGCTGAATGCCTTTACAGAAATCTTTTTTTTTTTTTTTTTTTTTAGAGATTTTATTTATTTATTTGACAGAGACAGAGACAGTGAGAGCAGGAACACAAGCAGGGGGAGTGGGAGAGGGAGAAGCAGGCTTCCTGCTGAGCCGGAAGCCCGCGGGGCTCGATCCCAGGACCCTGGGATCATGACCTGAGCCGAAGGCAGTCGCTTAACCAACTGAGCCACCCAGGCGCCCCAGAAATCTTTTTCTATGTATATGAACATCTTTTCTATGTATATACACAAGAAGAATGTGTACATAAATGAATGAAAAGATATGTAAAATAAAAATTGTTTTCATAATAGTCAAAAAACTAGACAATGCTCAGCGCCTGAGTGGCTCAGTTGTTAAGCGTTTGCCTTCAGCTCAGGTCATGATCCCAGGGTCCTGGGATCGAGCCCCGCAGCGGGCTCCCTACTCCACGGAAAGCCTGCTTCTCCCCCTCTCGCCCTCGTTCCCCCTGCTTGTGTTCCCTCTCTTGCTGTGTCTCTGTCAAATAAATAAATAAAATCTTAAAAAAAAAACAACTAGACAATGCTCAAATGTCCATCAACGCTTGTGTCAATAATTATGGCGATTCATAGAAGGGAATACTGTATGGCAATGAAAATAAATGATCTACAGCTACATACAAAAATATGGACTAATCTCACAAGCATATTGAAAAAATATACTAGATATTAAAAATTACATAGTTTATGATTCAATTTTTTTATAGTGCTAAAGCAGGGTAGTTGTTATCCTTGATTGGGAGGGACGGGAGGTGACAGAGCAGAATGGCAGGGTGAGGAACACTTTGGGAGTCCTGTCATGATCTGATATTTGAATTTGGGTGCTGGCAATGTGGATGTGCTTAGTCTGAAAAATTCATAGGCATACATAGATTTATGAGGTGTGCACTTTTTTGTATATATATTTATGCTCAAAGAAGATTATTTAAAACACATCTAGGAATAAATTAACAAACATATACAAGAACTATACATGGAAAACTAGAACATTATTGAGAGATTTTCTTTCTTTTTTTTAAGGTTTTATTTATTTATTTGAGAGGGAGAACACAGGCAGGGAGAGAGAGAGGGAGAAGCAGATGGCCCACTGAGCAGGGAGCCCGATGTGGGGCTCGATCCCAGGACCCTGAGACTAGGGCCTGAACCAAAGGCAGACGCTCAACTGACTGAGCCACCCAGGCGCCCCTATTGAGAGATTTTAAAAAGGCCTAATCAATGGTGGGACATATAAAGATCATGGAAGACTCGTTATTTTTAAAATTTCATTTATCTCCAAATCTATCTATAGAATCAATGTAATTCCAAACAAAATCCCAAAGGATCTATTTGTTAAAAAGGCAAGCTTATTCTAACATCTATGTGGAAATGCAAAAAAAGCCATGTACGGGCAAGGCAATTTTGAAGAAGAACAAAATGAGAGAAGTTGCCCTATCATATTATAAAGTTAGAGTACCTAAGCATGGTATGGGTGCCGGCATAAAGGAATGGATAGAAGCAACAAGCTAGAGAGCTCAGAGACA